GCCCCAAAAACAGGAAAATAATTGAAATTTGGCAGTTGGAAAACACTTTTGAAGCAGTGAGCTTGTAAATCGCTTACTGAAAAAAATGTTGAGATAAATTTCAACGCGGCGAAACTTTTTCCACCGTGTTCGAGTCAAGTTTTTCGATTACGGATTAATGTAATTTTTTTTCTCATATATATACATGTTTTTATTTATTTTTTCTTGCACTCTGACCCCTCCCAGTGCTCATCTAGTTTGTTTGACTTGGCGGCGGCCGAGCTTGAAAGTTTGATGAATTTTTAAATTTAAAAAGTTTATTTGTGCGTTTGTAAGTTGGACGAGGGCCGGCAGTTATGGGGACTATTATTAGAAGTGCAGGCTGACTGAGTCCGGCACTTCAAAGCAATTTCGCTGATGAGGTCGTGACTCTTCTGACCGCCTTCGCCACGAAGTTGCCGCCGCGCAACATGTTTATCCAAATCCCCAAGCGCACTGCCTAATTTGAAAAATGTTCTATTTGCCCACGCTGCAGAATCTTTTATGTTTCACTGTCAATATCCTTATTTATCGTGCGGTTCACTGGGTTTGTTTCGCGGTCTTTATTAGCACCTAGGGGTTGTTTGCCCAGTTTCACTGCTGTTTGCTTAGGCAGTTCACTGCTGTGGCTGCTGCTGACAAAAATATTTGCCTCAACGAGAAGCACAGGTGGGAAAATTGAAAAAGCGGATTGTTGGGCCACATAAATACCAATTAATTTAAATTTTACAGTATTCCGTTTTTGTGGGCATTTCGAAAAACAACACAACGGTATTGGTTGCCACATAAAAATAATAATTACACATATTAACGCAACGTAACGGGGATCGATGCGAAAACTATTTAATCACAAAATATTTTCATGGCTGGCTGCATTTAATGACGACCAAATGGAAAATCTCACGAAAATAAAGTAAAAGACTAAAATCAACATTAAAATCGGCTAATGGATAAGAGCAGGGGTGTCAGGTGTTTTTGAGTCGTATGTTAAACAAAATCAATTACAGACCATTTAACGTGGACGGGTGTTCAAAAAGGGGAAAGTACATAATAGAGTCATTTAAGTACAGTTTAAACATTAATGAGGCTCGGGGGTAATTGCAGCAGCAAGGAATTGCTGGCTACGATAAATTGATAGTTAATGTGGCAGACGTTAGTCGTCCGTACTGCCAGCTCGCCCGGCTGTTAGAATTACAAACGGAGCACACATACGCACTGTACGCCGACTCTCGGACACTTGGACACCTAACACAAAGGACAAAGGATACGAGGGGCGATACACGACACTGAACACCGAGCACTGGCCACTGGCACACTAGGCAAACAGGCCACGTTTGTTTGACTCGCGGCCACGTCTGGGGAAATAGAACTGAATAGGGAGAAAGAGGGTCAAAACCGGGCGTTTTATTACCAGAAGTGAGTGACGGGGAGGCACAACTTTTTGCCTTTCGAGCTGCAGTTTGCGCCAACAAATTGCAGCGACATTTTCAACGCCAACTAATCAATACGGCGACATGTGGCTGACTGGGAAAAACGGATGCGGAAAAGCGCTAAAAACGGCAGAGGCGGAGGGGAGCCGGAGGAGTTGTCCAGGACAAAGCGTTAGTGCTGGCCAAACAATTGCGGTTAATGCTCGCCTGCAACGCGATAGTTATGACTGATAAAATAATAAACCCAGTCGGCCAGAAACCTTTTTTGCAAACCTACTTTTTTCTTTTTTCCAAAATTTACGAACTTCCAACAAAGTTCAGGTTGTGCCCAAAAACTCGTGTCGGATATAGGCAACACGATTTAAGGCTCATTTGTATGCTGGTCAGATGGGCGAGCGGTTGCACAATATTTTATTACGCGCAATTGACTCACAAAATCCAAAAAGTGAGCCTTCAGAAAACGGCCCATTAAAATCGGTTCAAAAGTCTGTAAAAGCAACAAGAGCCGGTATTCCCATATTCATATTTTGTTTAATTGACATTTAAATATCGTTTATCGTTAAACACAGACGTTCTCAAACAACAGTCGTTTCGATTTAGGATAATATTAGATCGACAGCCTAAACTTAAATAAATCGGATAAATTGGTTTAAAATACATAAAAATGTTTGACTAAACTAAATATTTATTAAATACTTAAAAATAAAAAGGAGTATTTTTTTTAGTGTAAGAACGTCATTGATGTGCAAATGACGTATTGTCAAGAAACAATTAGTAATTGTAAAACGCTACTGTGAAATTGTATATGACCTCTTACAACTACCTTAATGATCTTATAACTGAGTAGTTGACTTTTATAAAAACTAACAATATAATTCGCAATTACATCTACAAAATCAACGACAACAAACAGGAGCACGAATGAAAAAGACTAAGAGTATATTTTAACTACTGGTGAGTGATGAAAAATTTAGAGATCAGAGAGCATACACAAGCAGAGTTGCCAAAACAACAGGCAAAGCAGGAGAGACTAGGAGTTAGTGGGGAAAGAAAGTTAATATCTACTTCTCGACAGGAAAATGGCTGAGGAAAACTCAAAAAGATCTGAGTGGAGAGAGTTGTTTTATAGCTTTTTTTAGTGAACACACAAACCTTTTTAGGAGAAGATAAGTGTAGTGAAGTTGGCGATGGCATAGAACAATCAGAAGATGCAGAACTGCAGCCGCTGCTGGCGCTGCTGCAGCCCCGAACGCTGGCCAGTGGCAGGTGATGGTGGAGCCCGAGGGGTAGCGGTAGTGGCAATGGTGTTGGCTCCAGCAGCGAGGCCATGGCCCCAGCACCACCAAAGGGACCGCCCACTTCAACACCACCGCCAGCGCTCAGGACTGCATTCGCTGCTGCGGGCGGCTGCTTCTTAGTAGTAGTGGTAGTAGTTCTAGATACGGCTGATAGATTAACTGTATTATTTACATTGTTGGTCGGAGTGGTGGCCGCCGAAGTAGGCGTAGCCGCGGTGGCGAACATGGCCGACGAGGCCACCGCCGGTATGATGGTCAGTGGAGTGCTCGGCGCCGCGAAGAACTGCGTCGGCACCGAAACGGGCACCGGACCCGCTATCGGTCCGGCGATCGCGGCCGGAATCTGGGCGGCTGCGGGCTTAGTCGGCGTGGTGGGGGCGGCAGCCACGCCCACAGCACTGTTCACCTGCAGTTGCATGTACGTCTGCAGCATGGCCTGTGCCTGGGCTTGGGCTTGAGCTTGAGCCTGGGCCTGGGCTTGGTAGTGAAACTGCTGCTGCAGTTGCTGCTGGTGTTGCACTTGCGCCTGGTGGAATACGGCCGCCTGTTGCTGATGCTGCTGCTGATGTTGGTGTTGCTGCTGCTGGTGCACCTGCATGGCCTGATAAGCGGCTGCGGCTGCTACCGGGTGCTGCGGATGCTGATGCGGATGTGGATGCGTGGACGGCGGTGCGTGCAACAATTGCATTTGCTGTGCGTGGTGGGTTCAGAATATTTGTTGTATTTGGTTTTTGGCGAGGGTTTTGTTTTATTTTGGTTTCAGTTTGGTTTTTGAATTGGTTTTTTCTGTTTTTATCGTTAAAATATAAAACAAATACAACAAACTTAAAAGTGTATGCTGATTGGGCTGGACCCTTTCGACATTATCCGTTTGAAATTATAATCCGTGTTTTGGGGGGCTGGAGGAAAAGAGTCGGCTACAGGAGGGTTAAGATATAGACAGAGTATTCAGGTGAGAGAGATAGGAATAGCAGTGAGAGTTTAGCGAGCGCTACCAGTAAATAGTGGATAGGTAATCTACAATTAGAACATTAGAGAGGCAGAGAGGCAGAGAAAGACTGGTACAGGGAAAGTAATAGAGAAACAGACGGAAGCAGTAGCACAAAGATTTGTCCAACTTCAAGAGATCTAAGCCCGCTCAAAACTTGGTCACTTGGAAGAACAGCTTAAGCGAAGAAACGTGAAAGTTTTTGTGGCCAAATCATAAGTCGGGCATCAGCTTCGATTAATTAGATTTTAATGTCAATGGCTGGGTTAGCAACACAACCCAAAAAAAAACTATATACACGACCGAAAAAGCAGGTGTAAAATAAGCATTAAAACTAAAAACTAGTTCCCAAAGCAATCAAAAAACTTAAAATTAAATAAATTTATGCTAAGGTATATACAACTTAGAAATAAAGAAACCCATTGACATTAAAATCGCCCAAAATATAGTTCATATGCGGTTAGCAGTATAGATTAATCATGGCGGAAAGAGGTAACCAAAAAAAAAATATTAAGGAATATAGAATGCTTTTTGCATAGTAAACTGTACAAGTTTCTTATATATTTTTAGTTAAGAAGTAATCATAGCATTTTTGTTTTTTGTTTTTATCAAGAAATACAGATTTCCTGATTTTGATTTCGAATCTATTTTCTTATGGTTCAGGTGTAATTAAAGGGTCTCTAGATTTTTGCTTTATTTCTTGGGCTTACAAGTTCGGATACGGTAGTTGGTAATTTGATTAGGATCGGTCTCTGGGCGGAGCTTACCATGATTAAATCTTGTATAGAGGAGGACTCAGCCGAATCGGATGCGACGATCTCTTTTTTTACCGTTGCTGGTGCTCCTGCCACTGATGAAGTGGACGGCGGTGTGGGCTTAGCCGGGGCGTTAGCGGCTAGCGACGCTTGAGAGCTGCTGCTGATACTGAGCGCTGCAATCGCTGCTGACGCCGTGGTTTCTGTTAACGCGGCAATGATGACAGTTTTATTGGCAACAAATGTTGGTTGAAATATACTCCTCTTCTGTTTTAAGCACTTGGTTGTTTTCGAGAGTATATTTTTTGACGCGTTTCGAGTGTTAGATTTTCGTTTTTTGGTATTTTCTTGACGGGTTTTGAGATTGGGGAAATTGCAAAGGGTTGGTTGGTTTTCGTGGTTTGGTGAATATGTGAACTATTATAATATAATGCCAATTGAATTAGTTTTCGATGTTCGCTATGCCAATGGTGTGACGTAAAGTTTTACGCAAATTGTTGCTACAATTAGTCGACGGAAAAAAACTGCTAATACGACTACGACTACTGAGTTTAATCTTATTTTGAGCGTATTTTAAGTGTTTTTTTAAAAATGTTAATATGCTAATGCTAATATATCACTACTGTGGTTGGGTAATAGATATTTGGGTTGTGTTTAGATATTTGAAAACCGTTTGAGGATTGTTTAAAGTTCTGATTGATTGCAAATTGATTGTAGATTGTAAAGACCGCTTCGATTGATTGATTGATTGATTGATTAAGCCTCGAAGTTTCTAGAGGAAAGAGGTTCTCTTAGAGATTGTCATAGAATAGAGGTTCGATTATGAATCTGTAAAGTGCCAAAGCTAGCAAAAGTTCTTTATAAATATATGCTGTAGAGAATATGTATATATATCCTATATTACGCACGAAGGCGGTTTATCTGATGTGTATATGAAATACGCTAATTTCGTGTGATTGTCAAAACGCGATTTCTTGTCGGTCGAGGCATTGATTAGACCCGGCGATCCCACTTTAACGCTACTCCCTTACAAACGTTAACCCCTTACTGTATGCTAGAGACAAAGCTAGGAAAACTCTTGCTGTGGTTACATAAAAATGTTGATTGAGAACGATTGAGAGGGGGTCTCTGATTGACGCTGCTTGCTTAAGAATTACAAATTGACTCTGCCTACAACCGATATTAAATCGGTATGCAAGGAAAGGTATTTCGATTTTCAAATTGGCTACTTTATTTCATTTGACGGTTATTCTGGATATTAATGGATTATATCTGCAGCCTTTTTCGATTGCCTTTCAATTGTTTATTGCCGACCATTGATTCTGATATGTTGCTATTTAACGGTTTTATTTCTCTTCTTGTAAATATTTATATTTAATTTTCAATTTAACAACCTTTGCATACTCTCGCGGCTACCTTCGACCTTCCTGGCTATCACCTTTATTTTTTCCTCGCTCTTTCTGACTTTCCCTTTGTGGTCACCTTTGTTAATTGATTTCCCACTTTATTTCTGCGTGCAAATTCGTCTTTAAATTACGCTCAAAACTAACAACCGAACATACAAATATATAAATATATAAATTTCTTTAAAATCATCAATTTATTCGCGTTTGTCTCAACAGGATCTCGATTTTTGTAAATATCTCTTTCGTACATATACTAGTTCAAAAATATAATTTAAAATACTGTTATGTACCGACTGAAATTCTTTTGATTTAGCAACAATTCTTGCGTGTTTCTTTTTTTGTGCCTTTCCGTATGGTTTTATTTTGTTTTTATTTTGATTTCTGTTTTGATTTTTAATGGTTTCTTTTCAGTAATGCTTTGATGGCTGATGGGTTTTGGGCAGAGCGGGTCTTGGAGGGGGATCGGTTTGGGCTTAGAAAAATACCAGGGAATTCGTTTGGATTTTTGTTGCTTTTAGCTCTGGATTTATTTCATTTATGATGGGTTTGGTCCTGCATTTCTTTGTAGGTTTCTAATTGCTGGTCAAGAGATGGCAGAACTCGTGTGATTACTTTCTTGCGATGCAAACGGTGGGAGCCAAAGTTGAACTCAAACAAGTAAAATAAATGAAATTTGGAATTTTTACTTTCTTACATTTTCTTGCCAATTCAAAGCCAAACGTGAAACTCAAAAAAAAAATAGAAAATCAGATATATGGAGTAAAAATCAAATAAAAAACGAGTAAAAGCTTTGCACACAATAATAAACAAGAAAATTAGACACAATGGGCATAAATGTTTAATAATAATTAGCTTTATTACCAATTAAGTGTCGAGTCAGAGTTGTTGAAGTTGGATGGGAAGTCAAGTTTTTGTTATAAGTTTTTTTGTGGGGGATCTCTTGATTTTATTTTAAATCAATATTTTTTTTAGGTTTTATTGCTGTTGTTGCTTTTCTTGTAATTATGGCTCTGGAACAAAGGCAAAAAATTCATGGAATATTTTGAATATTTTGTGCTCTTCTGTGCGCTTCAAGTGTGTAATTTAACTTTTTTCGCGAGGTATTCTTTACCATATTTTTGTGAGTTATAAAAAAACACGTTTTGTGCCGGAGATTGGAGCGAAAGCCCCTGAACCTCTCTCTCTCTTTATTCTCCAGGTTTTGATTAACACGCACGAAATTTCTTTAACTTTACCGGTTTGTTGTGCCTCTGTTGTTCTTGTTGTTGAGTCACACATTGGCCCGCTGCAAAGCAGGTAAGAGAGTTCAAGCCCGTCAAAAGCCGCGTGGGCCGCCCTCGCACACCACCGACGTGTAATTGCAACAATAAAAATAAACTACGGGAATTATTTGGATGCGTACTTAGTACACGCCAACAGCGGCAGCGACAAGTGGCCAAGAGTCTATGCTGGCTGGCTGGCTGTCTGTCTGTGTGCGGCCTATTGGAACGCACGCCATAAGGTTTTATGGCCAGAAGTCGACTCGAATCAGAGTTAACTGAGGAAGACTACGTCTGCGTTTTTGCCTGATATTTTGTTTTTTCGTCTTTCTTTTTCGGTTTTGTTTCGTGTTTTTTGCCTTTATTGTGAGCCCGAAAACACAAAAACGTGTTTCTTTGTTGGCGGGGCTCTTGGCTTTGCCGGCACTGGAATTTCTTCGCCTATGTCTGGCTTAAATGCAGAGAAGAGAACAGGAGCGAGAGACGCAAAGACTGATGATGGATCAGAACTCAGAACTTGTTGTTGCCAAAGCCTAAAGCCTATAAAAAGTATCGTCGGACCAAGAACTTGAGAGCGGCTCTCGAACAACGAACTTTTGCCAGCAGTTCTGTATTTGCTTTGCTCGTTCTTCGCTTATTGTTAAATTATTACTTTTGAGCGCACAAAATATTCTTTTTTTTTTGTTCTGTTGTGTTCTTGCTGTTTTTAATTTTTCATATTCTTACATTTCAGAGAACGGAAGGTGCGGTAGAGACACTGAGTTTTTGTGGTTGTATATTGATTTACACGCGCAAAATGTGAAAACACTACGAAGCCGGAAGTCGATTCGATTTTACTTTTCAATTTGTGATGGTGAAGCTTCGATTATAAAATTCTCGGGGACTGGACCTAGAGTGATGTGATCTGTTCAAGTCGGACACTGGATGCGAACTGCGCGTGTTATTTTCTTTTTATTATTATCCGCGTGCTGTGTGCTAGGCGTTGTTGCTGCTGTTGCGGCTGTTTTCGATTTGAACCCAACTTTGATTTGGATATTGAAATTCGTGAGTGAGTGGAGTGAAAAGTGTGTGAGAGAGTGTTCTGGTGGCTCTTGCTGCTGCTGCTGATGGTTCTGCCGTGCTGTTGCTGCCGTGCTGTTGCTGCTGCTGATGTTGATACTAGCGGTGGAGGAGAGGATGTCGCTGTCGTTGGCGGAGGTGTGTGTCGGTGGTTGGTTTTAGGGCGCTGACGGCGACGGCGACTGCGACGCCAACTTTCGATGATGGCTGAACGGAGCCAGGAAAAAGAACGACACGGGCTACCGACCCTATGCTACTGCTGCTGTTATACTAAGTGATTTGATTCAATTCCTATAAAGAGCCAACGAGCTGAGAGGCGGACAGAGTTGGAACGGGTTAAAGCAAAGACTGTACGAAGACTGAAGTAAGAACGACTGGCATTCTAAGGTAATATACCTTTTTGTTTCGGAGTCGGACGGCGCTGCCGCAGTCGCTGCCGGAATTGAATCTGTTGCTGATGCGCCGGCAGCAGCAGCGGCAGAAGCGGCGCCGCTTGCTAACCAAAATAAAGCAACAGTGAGCCCAAGAACCGGACTCGGGCTCAAAGACCGAACGTGAACGAGACGAGCGGCCGCAAAACGAAGCGGGAAACGACCGTCGTGGGCAGCATTTCTCCTCTTGGCAGCGATGACTCCGAAAATATGCGGTATAAAAACGAGTCATCAGTAGTACACCTTTTGGGCCTTCTCCTGTTTGCAGTTCTCGCTCCCGCTCTTTTACCTCTGCTACCTGCCAGTGGACTTATCATACTTCATCCTCTAAGTGGATTTTTTACGGTGCGTAATTATCAAGTCTTTATTTTTGGCAGAACGCATTGAGCTCTTATAAAGATATACATTCATCTTTTTTCAGGGATAGTATAATTCTTTTCGTATAAGACTTTTGAGGATCGGAACTGGAGAATACAAACAGTTCGTGTCCATGCACCCGAAGGATGCCTCCCAGGCTCCCCCTTAGGTAGTTGTTGCTCTTGTAATCGCTATTGTTGCAGTAACATTACTGGCACACACACTTATGCACGCGGGCAGTACACACGCACACACACGAGTACTCCAACGTGAGACAGCAAATGCATGCGCCATGCGTGTGCGCCTCCAAATAACTAAAAGTGCAAACGAGAGGACAGCGTGTGCGAGCGAGAGATAGAGAGCCACAGCAGCGGCAAAAAAGGCAAAACGACGTCGGCAGCAAAATCAACGAGAAAATAATAATTGTTACACCTGCTTCGGAAATGTGGCAAAAGGGGGTGACACACACACCCCCACACAACCGAAGCTCGCTCGGTTTTCAGGTGAGCATTTGCCACCCCCGACAACGTAGTGGAAAGAACCGAATTGCGGAAAAGCGAAGCTCGGCCAAGGCTGACGAAGCAAAAGCGAACGGAGTAGCCGACCGAATTTTCCCGACCTCAACTAGCCGACGTGGACTCCGAACGTCGGCAAAGCGCATGACGCCAAGGTGCAAATTATGCGTAGGTATGCGGGATGTGTGGGTGTGTGAGTGCGCTTCCGGAGGTGTATGTGGGTGGGTGGCTCACCCCCAAAATGAGGGGAAATATCCGAAGCAGAATTTGTTGTAAGGGGTCGTGGAACTTACAGAATCCTGAGGGGCAGCCAACAACTGTTAAACGAAAGCTTTACTCCCGAGCTTTCTGGTAAAAATGGAAGCTATTTCCCAGATAAGCAGTTAACATTACCTTCAAATGTTTAGTTTTTTATACTTAATCGTTAAAGAAGCTCCTTGTGTTTTAACCGAAGAAAACATTTTTAAAAACCAAGCACCATGATAGGAGAATTCTTTTTATAATGTTCAATAATACTTTCTGAACGACAAAAAAACGAAAAGAAAAGGCCAACGTTAAAAATTGTCGAGCAATTCGCAAACGTAAAACACAAATGTAAACTTAAATAGTTTCAAGGCAAAACTTTGAAATAGGTTAAGTCTTCGGTACCTAAGAAAAAGTCAATATGAAAAATTGGTTAAAAAACTAGTATAAAGCCTAGTCTTCGTGTACACGCAGAAAAATGTAGTACAAAAATAATAGTACGGACGTACTTGTAAATCGAGAAAATATTTCTTACAAATTTAAGAACGAACGAGTACAGATTAAGTACGGATTCTACTTGATATTTATATATTAAAATGTTTTTTTTTAATATACAGAAAACGGTTTTTTCGCTTTAATCCTGCTTATAGTGTTTCTAAATAATTCTAGAACTGTTAAGAGCAGTAAACTCTATTTAAAACTATTAACTTAACAAGAAAACAAAAACTATTAATTTTAATTTTATTTTTGTTTTAATGAAATTTAAACCGTAATTCTGAAATATTTAGTCATTTCTATATGTCGAAGAACTAAAAAAAAAATTTAAAAACAGCAGTTATAATTTTTTTTCCGATTGTTCCTATGGGAGCTATATGTAGTATTTCGATTTTGATGAAATTTAAATAATATTCTGAATATATATATATATATATATATCGATATATAATATGAAATAATTAACCATTACTCTACTAAAAATAAAATTAAAAAACATCAAAGTTATAATTTGTATTTTTATTTATTTTCCGATTGTTCCTATGGGAGCTATATGCTATAGTCGTCCAATCCGGCTTGTTCCGACTTATATACTACTTGCAATAGAAAGACTACTTTTTGGAAAGTTTTATGCAGATAGCTTTAAAACTGAGGGACTAGTTTGCGAAGAAACGGACGGACATGGCTAGATCGACTCAGCTAGTCATGCTGATCAAGAATATATACTTTATAGGGTCGGAAACGTCTCCTTCACTGCATTGCAAACTTCTGACTGAAATTATAATTTTAAAAACTACAACACAAGCTTTTAAAGGTAACAAATGCCCACTTGGATATAGGGATCTGAAATTTAAAATTATATGTCCCGGAAGAATTTATTTTGATCACTTGGAAACGAAAAATGCAGTAAACTAGGCTGGTACAAACAAACGTGGTGTTGTTATTTTGTATCTAGTTAATTTCCGAATAAAAACAGCTTAGTTCGCTTAAATCCCAAAATGTAAAAACCTTGATCAACGGGGAAAAAAACTTCCTTTACAGCAAATATTTTAGTGCATCAATTAAAGAAAACCTTTGTTTCGGAGCGGATCGATAGCATTAGAAGGTAACGGTATGAGTTCGAACTAATAAAAAAACATTTTATTTATAGTACTCTTTGAGTATTTTTCATAAGAACCTTAAGTGAAACGAGGGATTTAGCTTTGTCAGCTGGTTGGTTCGGCATTTCGTAAGCCATTCTACTCCCCCTACCACACTTTTTGAGGAGAGTTAAAACCGACGACGAGCCAATGTCTGCGTGCATAAAAATCGCTTTGTTATTGTTGCAGGCGGCAGTTGTGGCAACAGCAAAAACAGGGACCATAACATCAAAATGGGCATCAGCGTCGTCATCGATGACGCCGATGAGAGCTTTGTAGTTGTAAACGGTTTATGGGATTTACGCGCAATTTGCTTGCCACTTTCATGGAACTACACTGGCAAAATCATATGATGAGGCTCAAAAGCGATTGCTGATAGGTAAGGTATATTATTAATATTACTTTTTTTCAATGTCGTTTAAGTAAAAGCCCAAAAGCTAACAAGTATGGTCTAAAAAAACGTAATTTAAACATATTTTATCTAAGTTAAAATTCTTAGCCGCGATTTGATTTTCGCCAGTGTACTTTTGGTTACTGCGAAGGGTAATGGGATGGGTCTAGGGATCGTGGGGCACATATAAAACAATATGCGTCCAATCTAAACCGGGCTCGTTAAATGAATTGCGTTTGTTTTCACCCCCTGCCCTTCCAAATTAGCTCGTGCTAGCCCCGATACCGTTGCTTTTGTAGTAACTGCTATATGTTGTTGAAAAACAACATAAAAAAGTGTAACGCAGCTTACCTGCACAGAGCATAAAAAAAGCGAGAGAGGAAAACAGACAATAAATTTGAAGATCTTATATTGACCAAGCTGTAAAAATTGGCTGCCAAGCTTTACATATAATTTCGATCAATTTGCTGAGCAATCTGAGACTAGGGTGGACGGAGGTTCTCCCTTGCACACCACTTATTGGCAACATTGTTGCAGCAACAAGTTGTCCAGGTACAGCCATCGCATCGAATACAAACACAAATAAAGCCGCATAGATTGCATTCTGTCTATGTGCAACTTGCAAGAGCGGCATGCCACTCCAGACACATGGCACATACATACATGCCTGTTGTAGCAGCTTATTTATGTGTGTTTGTCCGATGCAGTCGCATAATTCTGCTAGCAAAGTCGCCAGGATGTTGGCCCGAGGTGTGCGCAGGTGTGGAGAGGTAGCAGTTAGTCGAACGGCTCAGGCATGCAACAGGCAATGAATCTCAGCCTCGGCAGCCCTTTCGCTGAGCCGGGACTAGCTGCCAGAACCCAGCAAAAAGCAGCAACGAATGACCAACTATCAACAACCAGAAGAGCCCATAGATCCAAAATTGGAGGGGAAACAGCCAAGAAAACCAGCTCCCAGTGCCGTTGACTTGACAATTCAAGTGCAACAAACTGGCGCACCAAGACTGCACTGGCAACCCATGGGACATTTTGAGATAAGTAGTCGAAGCATTTAATACTCTAGCAGAAAAAAATATTTGTTTGTAGCTATGAAAGTTCAACTGCATGCATGTTTCTTAAAACATTAACTAAACACTTTAAATATCAAACCGAAGAGATATATTGAAATGGTAGACAGTTTATGTTATAAGAATAAAAGTGGTGCAACAATGCCAACAACAAAAGCACTTACGTTCTGGTTATAAACCAAAACAAGCAGAGCCGCAGACGACATTTAGCTGCGAATGGAGAGAAAAATGCGTTAGCAGCATTTACTAGTCCCAGTCGCAAACATAGTCCCAGAGTAAGACCAACTTAAATTTGCAGCTCCAGTCCGCTAAAGGAAGCCAACCGAATCTGGCGACCCACCAAGAGAATGGTGGAGTGGTAAAATGGCAGTATGAAGGAACGGGGGAAGATGGAGCCAAACCAGCCAACCAACAACAAAATGCACGAAACAGTCAACTTGCAATATTTTAATTCACTCGAATATTTCTCCAGCAGCAAGTATTCCTTTTTCTTGTTCTTCATTTTGTTAGTCTCTTGCTGTAGCCATTTCTATCTGTCCTCGGTCGACTGCTCGTTCGTATGCACTGAGAGGAAATTTTTGATCAATTAATCAATTTAAGCGTTATCGATAATGATAATAATGATTAAAAAAACTGTGTTGGTTTATAACAGAAACCATTTTGAATATTAAAAGAAAGGAAATTAAAGAAAAAATATATTAATACATTCAACTTTAATATTATTGCGTTTTTCCTGAGTGCAGCAAGTAGCAAAAACGGCAGAATTGCATGCAACTCGGCAAAGAAAAAGAAGGGATGCAGTTGTAGACAGGGAACGATGCAAGTTGCCAGTGCTCTTCCTCC